AAAACTTCACTTCAATCACATACAGCACTTAACTAGCACCTCTAGGATATAACAGTTCAAAGGCACTGCCTCCAAGATCCTAGCATATAAGAGCTTCAGTTTCAAAGTCACAGTTCTGCCCTGGCCAGTGTGGCTCAGTTGGTTGAGCATCTCCTGTGTATCAAAAGGTCCCAGTTTGATTCCTGGTCAGGGCACATGCCCAGGTTGCAGGTTTGATCCCCAAGAAGCAGCCAACTGATGTTTCTCTCTCTCCCTCTCCTTTCCACTCTGTCCAAAAAATCAATAAAAACATTTAAAATATAAAAAAATAAGTCACAGTTCTTCTCAGGATAGTCATTTTATTTCAAAAAGAAAAAAGTAAGAAGTTATGTAGAAAGCTATAGAAAGAGAAAAGAACTAAACATGAATTAGGAGATCTAGTTCTCATTCAGGTTTGCTGTAAATAGCTATTTGTGGAACACCTCTTGGCTTTAGTTTATTCATAGCTAATGAGAGCATGATGATGTAGGTTATTTCTGAATACCCCTTTAGTTCTGTAAATCCCATGGTTCTTGACAAGAGGAAAATAGGAACAGCATGGGCAGAAACCAGGAAGAAGTTGAGAAAACCCAACCAAAGCATTTTGGGTTAACATTCACCCACTGTAGCTAATCGAGAAGAACCATATGGAATGAAAGTCAGTAAGAAGTATAAAGAGAAAGAAGGAAATAAAATCAAGAAGATGGACCCTAAGAATTCAATTTTCTTTCTTGAGCCTTTGCTCTAATTTGTCAAAAAAAAAAACAAAACTAAGAATATTGCCCTAACCGGTTTGGCTCAGTGGTTAGAGCGTCAGCCTGCAGACTGAAAGGTCCCAGGTTCGATTCTGGTCAAGGGCAGGTACCTTGGTTGCAGGCACATCCCCAGTAGGAGGTGTGCAGGAGGCAGCTGATTGAGGCTTCTCTCTCATCGATGTTTCTAACTCTCTATCCCTCTCCCTTCCTCTCTGTAAAAAAATCAATAAAATATATTTTTTTAAAAAAAACCTAAGAATATCAGGAGAACCCCACCAGAGGAGGCACACATTTTTCCAGGCCATTTTTAACTCTTACGTGGTTACCAAAGTGATTATTTGTGAGAGGGTAGGGTTGTCTACTACACTAATTTCAATCTCCCAAAAGGGAGAAATCACTGGAATACTCTCTGCTTTATTAGTTGACGTTTTTGTTTACCTCCTTTAGCTTGCTATTTTATTATTCAAGGAGCTGGAAATTTAGACCATTCAAGGAGCTGGAAATTTAGACCATTACTGCCATAAATGTATAATCCCTTTCATAATTCATATATTAAAAGGCAAATGTTATTGGACAACTAAGGAACACTATTGTCCTATTCCTCAATTATTAGCCAACTTTCTCCAGGACCTATGTGTTTCACATAGTAGGCATGCAATAGATCTATAACTAAATTTAATGATCTATATAAAAGAGTACGCTTAATCCCATCCTGGCTTTGATATGTGCAGCCATTTTTGAAAATCAAATTTACAAAAATAAAGTAGATTTTATGTCTCATTTCAAAGAAAACTTTTCTGTAATTTCTCCTTGCAGAAACCATATTTCTCTGGAAAAGCATGTGTTCAAGTACAGTTTTCTTCATTTCATTCTCACCTTTTTCTGGTCTGTCCAGTATAGAAGGAGTACAAGTGTCATAGTGGCCAGAGGTAGATTCACCAGGAAGCTAATGAAGCTTGCACAGAGCCCCTTTGAATGCACTGGGAAGACCAATTTTATTCTTATAATTTGTATTATTGAACTAGGAATTGTTGTAAATGTACCCAACAACTGTGTACATTTTAGGCCTCACAAACCTGATCTATCCCTGATAATATCCTAGATGTTCTTTCCTGTTAAGGAGAGATGCTTATGTAGCCACTTGATAGAATGGCTGATAAGTAGTACATTGTTAGCCCTAAACTAGAAGTGTAAAATCATTAAGACCAAATTCAAAGATGATATGGTTCCTCTTATAATGGCAAGTTCCTCAGATGATGCTGTACAAGCTAATAGTACATATAAGGCTTCCCTTTACAAAATATACAAAAACATGTAATATTTTACCAGAGGTGTAATATTAAATTAATGATTCAAGAGAAATTCCACAGACCTAATTTCACCTGCAGTTTTAAGAGGTTAGCTTAAAGGATAAGGAGGTCCCTTTGTGAAATGTGCAAGTTAATTGTTTGCAACCTAAGAATTGATTTGGTGGCAAAGAAAGGCAGATCGTGTCTAATGATCACTTACAGTTTGACAGATCTATTATGAAGGCTGAAAGAATCTAAGATGCAGACTTTAAAAATACAATGAAAACAGCATAATCAGATATGACTGGGGAAAAACAAAAAAAATCCACCTGGTATTCATTTGCATGTCAATACCTAGAATTTTCTGCCAGTTCATCACTTTTTTCAAAATGCTGAAGGGATTTAAAAAAAAAAAAAAAAAAAAAAAAAGGAATGGTTTGGCATAATGGTGGGGGCTGCTGATTCCTTTCTCTGTCCTTGAGTGTTTACTGCCAGGAAATCCTGACCAACATCGATTGCCAAGGGGTTAAAGTCACATTGTTGTTAAATTGGGAGAGAAAATTAGCAGGATTTTGTGCCCTATGCTCAACTATCACAGAGTTTCAAAAACAGGAACCTGGGGCTTTATATGAGGGGACAGGGGAAGTGAAGGGGAAGAGTCACAGGGTGATTTATCAGGGCATAGTTCCAGATAAATTGCTTACATGGAGGTAGAAGAATTTTAGGCATATATTCTGTGCCAAGAAGCCAAACTGTTGAGCAGAAGCTCATCCAAAAGTGGAAATGGGTAGTTCTGGGTACAGTCCTTCCATATGTGAAGAGGTGATGATTTTATAGTCATGTAATTTGTACTCATGCATGTGCGGGTAGACTTTTCAGGTATCCGTACCATGAGATTCTCATGGCAAAAGAACGCTAGTATTTCATCAACATAAACTTTAATAAGCTGCAAAACTCCTGGAGGACAGAAACCACATTTTCTCTAGGTTCTATAAAAGCAAGTTTTTCTCATGATTAGAATCTGACATTCTGGGGAAACTCTGCACATTTTAACTGATGTGACTTACTATCCTCTCCACCCTTTTTTTCTCTCCCATTAACAATACCAATCTTGAAGTGGGGAGTGGGAGCACAAAATACCCCAAAACATAGTAAGCTCTGTTGGCTCCTGATTTACTTGAAGAATTAGTTAGAGCCATCAGGCAAACTTACTCTTGGGTCCTCAGATCTGTCCTCCTTTTCAGTTGCTAAACAATACAAGTGCATTTTTTTGTTTAAAAAAATAAAAAAAGAATTTCTGGAATAACTCCAGTGAATGGTGCTGAAAGAAAATGCAAGTTTGGAAATTTACTCAGCATCTAAGAGCCCTTAGTGTTAGTGTTATTTTCTTCAGTGTAGAACAGACTTAATAGTTGGGTGAAAATCATAGACTGGTGCAGATTAATAGTTAGAATCTTCAAACCAGCGGGTCTTGAAGCTGGCTACAGCTGTCACTCATTGCACCACTTCCTCTTGCCAGTCAGGAGAGAATTCTCAGCATCTCTGCTAAAAACTTTATTTTTAGCACGCCAGTGTACAGGCATGTATGCATGCACAATTCACACATATCCACTCACCGCGCGCACACGCACACACACACACACACACACACTGCTTCTGAGAAATGCAACTAGAATATCCTCAAGAGAAGAGATGGCAACCTCCAATTTAATGCACTCCCCTCAACTGAGAAATTTGAGGCCTAAGAAAGATAAATTACTTTCCTTTAGTCACATAGTTAAGCACAGAACAAAAGTTAGAACCCAAGTATCCTCAACTCTTATTCCAGTGCTTCCTTGTATACACTAATTTGAAGAGGCTTGGGGGTTTAAGCCATTGCACAGTTCAGTATATGTATATAAAGTGCTGCCCCTTCTCAACCAGAGTAGCCTTGAGAGTTTTCATAATGACCACAAACCTTTGGTTAATTCTATACAAGAAAATGAAAGAGATCATTTCATGACTAACCCACCCTGCTTTTTAAAGCAGCCTATTGCAAACCTGTTTTATTGATTATTTGATACAGATGTTTCGAAAAATAAGTTCAGAACTCTTTTTATTTTGCCACTTTTTGCAACACTTACCCACAGGCCTTATACATCTGCTCTTACTGAAACAGATTGCTTCCAGAGCATTAAGAAAAGAAACAGACATTTTCTTGGCTCCATATTTCTAATCTGCTTCAGATTGATGGGGGGGGGGGGGGGGGGCGGGGTTAAGGATATTTTACATGCATACTGAGATCTCAGTAGATTTCATCTAAAACTGCAATATTTATGTTCAAGGTTGCTGAAATGATTTTTTAAAAAATATTTGTATTGATTTCAGAAAGGAAGGGAGAGGGAGAGAAAGACAGAAACATCAATGATGAGAGAGAATCGTTGTTTGGCTGCCTCCTGCTCCCTACCCCTACCCCCACCTGCCACCCACTGGGATCAAGCCTGCAACCCAGACATATGCCCTGATCGGGAATCGAACTGACCTCCTGGCTTGTAGGTCAACACTCAACCACTGAGCCACACCGGCTGGGCTGCTGAAAGGATTGAAAAAAGGATAAAATACATATTTCATTGAAAGCCAAGATAAACAACGGATTTTATCATTTTTAAAATCAATAACAAACACTCCTCAAACAACAAAAATTAGAACTATTAGCTAGTCATGTAAAGGTTTGTAGGATAAGTTGAAGGAACAGAAGAACAAAATTGATTAAATAGCTTTGGTCCTAGAAGACAATTAGGAGGAATAATCAGGAGATAACAGTACTTTGTCATTATTAAGTGTTGTTGACTTTAAAGATTTCAGTTTTTGAATCAAATGTATATAAAGAAACTGGGATGCTGTTCACTGTGAATTAGAAGTCTCCAACTAAACCACTTTTTCTCTTTTTTATTTGCAGCCATTTGTTATCTATGACATGAATTCCTTGATGATGGGAGAAGATAAAATTAAGTTCAAACACATCACCCCCTTGCAGGAGCAGAGCAAAGAGGTGGCCATCCGCATATTTCAGGGCTGTCAGTTCCGCTCAGTTGAAGCTGTGCAAGAGATCACAGAATATGCCAAAAGTATTCCTGGTTTTATAAACCTTGACTTGAATGACCAAGTAACTCTCCTAAAATACGGCGTCCATGAGATCATTTACACAATGCTGGCTTCCTTGATGAATAAAGATGGGGTTCTCATATCGGAGGGCCAAGGATTCATGACAAGGGAGTTTCTAAAGAGCTTGAGAAAGCCCTTTGGTGACTTTATGGAGCCCAAGTTTGAGTTTGCTGTGAAGTTCAATGCACTGGAATTAGATGACAGCGATTTGGCAATATTTATAGCCGTCATTATTCTCAGTGGAGGTAAGATTCATCTTTGATCTTCCATAAAAGTGGGTGGAATGGTGGTGGAATGGCTGAATTTTTTTTTTTTTTTTTTTTACTTTTACTTTCCTAGTGCTAGTGAATGTTCCTTTTCTCTCTGTACTCACTGCACTTTTCATACAGAAAATGCCAATGGCATAATGCCATGAAAGTGTCACCACGCATGTAAAATACCAGGAAAGGATATCATAGATTTGCTGTTTGAAGGCTTAGGCTAACCCAGGCTCTTTTCTTTTAATCCTCATACAATTTTTTCCTAATCAAATTCAAGCATGGAAGACAAATGCCCTCTTCTCCTTTTCCTTTCTCCTTATTTTCTTTTTTTCCTTGTCTTTTTCCTCTCCTTTCCAGAAGGCCAATCTAATATTTATGTCATTTAAGTAATGACATGTATAACTGTGCTTGAGATGATGCTCACTTGGCATAGAGAAAGTGCCATTAAGTGTTTTTGGTCAAATTATGCTCCTGCCCCACCATCAGTAAGATATTTCTTTGAATTGCTTTTCCAATATCAGGAATCAAGCATATATACTATCTACTGACCTCTGCCTACTCTCTCATGTAGATTCCTTTGATTGCTTCCCTTAAAATACCTTTGTGAGGGGGTTGGCTGTGGTTAAGAATGCAATCTGAACCAAAGAACACAGAGCAGAGAAATGAATTGAGTTATTTAGCAATTCATTGTATTTTTGGCCTTGCAAGTACATGATCTAACTGACCAACTCCAAAAGCCAAGTTTTATACTAAATGCTACTTTTATTGGCCTCTCACATGTTTCCAACTTGAATAGAAGAAAGTTTTACTGTCATCTCACTCTATAAAAGTTGTTTTTAATGACGAGTTTTCATTACTGAAATGGAGTTCAGATGAGCTTTTTATGTGTCCTTACAGAATATCCTCTGAAAACTGGGGTGACATGGTTGAAGGGTGATATAGGTATAGATTTAGATATAGATATAGATATAGATATAGATATAGATATAGATATAGATATAGATATAAATCTGGATAAGCTGTGTGTAACTGTACAGGATATTATAAAGAGCATGATCTATTCTATTGTCCTTTGTTGTCCAGTTACTTGAGAGTTGAATGCTTCTGAAATCAGGTGTGTAGTGTATTAGTAATAATAATAATAGCAAACGTTTAAGTACTTACTGTGTTCTGAGCACTGCATTCACATTCATTTCGTTCTCACAACCCAATGACGTAAGTTCCATTTTGCAAACAAGGAAACCAAAACACTAAAATGTTCAATCTTTCATCCAAAGTTACCCAGCTAGTAAAAGATGGAGCCAGGATTATAAACACGGGCAGTCTGGCTCCAGAATCTATACTGATACTGCCCTGTGTATGACTAGGGTACATATGATAACAATATGGCATAGGTTAATTCTGGAGCCTTAAGTCCAGTGTCAAGTTGTAACTTCTTTAAAAATGATTTTTTGGTGTTATGTTTAATGTAACAAAAATATGCTATCCAACATGTTTTAGTATCTTGACTACTTCTTAAACAAATTAACCCTTGATCCTCCTGAAACTGATTAGTTCAGCAAACAAAAATGATATTCCAGATTACTTGAGGTTCACTAAGAGAAAAAGATTAAATTTTGGAAAAAACAGATTAGAAAACAAGTTAATATTGTTTAAATAGCTAATACTTTAAAGCACATTTTACTTTTAATGAAAAAGAGAAATAAAATGATTAATATTTGATATATTTCTAAGATTTTTCCTAGCACATTATATAAACCATGTTCGTATTTCTTTCTCTGCTTATCATTTCCCCATGTCATTACATATTCTTTGTTAATATTTTTATTAACTTTTAAAAATAAAAGAAATACTTGGTCATTATATAATCCAAAGAGTACAGAAAAGTGGAAGTGAAAAGTAATTGTCTCTTTTCTCAGAATAAAGCTAGATTAACAAAGTCCTATTTCTCCTACCAAAAAGTTTCTATGCATGTGCTAGCATATGTATATGCTACCACTTTTAATAGCTATAAAATATTTCATTTTATAAAAGACTATTGCATACTAAATTATCTATATATGTTTAGGTTACTTATAATTTATTATAAAAACATATAGAAAAGAATACAGAAAAAAATTTTAAATATATATTGTTCCAAATTTTGCTGTAGTGAATATTCTTGTGTATAAATTTCTGTTCAATTTTCAGGTTATTTTCTGATTCCAAATGGCCAAAATGGAATTGCTGGGTAGATGGCTATGAACATTTTTAAGTCTTTGTCACATCATTGCCAAGTTGTTTTCCATAAAGTTGGTAGTAGTTTATATTCCCACCACAGATGCTAGCGGAGGCATTTAGAAAAAACCACTCAAAGATACTTAGTTTCTAACCAGGAAATATCTAGATAAGAAATAATCATGATAATTATGGGCTTTTTTGAACCGGAGTGATGTTGTTATATGGGTACATGAGACAACAGTGTGGTTTCATCTAGAAAAATGCCATTACTGCCCATATGTCAAAGCTAGATTATTTTAAAAATCAGTGATTTGTTAAGCCCTTAAATGTTTCATTAATTAGCCAAAAAAAAAAAATTTATATATAGTTCTGTGAATAGCTTGGTTCAATGTAATAACATTTCAGGCAGGCCGAAGCCAGGGATCAAACCTGCAACCCAGGTATGTGCTCTTCATTAACCAGGAATGTAACCTGCCAATGCTCTAACCACTTTGCACACTGGACAGGGCTCTCAATTAGTTTTAATTTTCTTTCTATTGGATTTTCCAGAAGAGGAAAACATTCATGTAAGCAAGAGGTTTTGATTCAGTAAACATAGTTCTGATCCTACCTGATCTTAAAGAGCGATTATTTTCTCCTCTGCAGTTCATTCTGATTCTATAAATAGCTTTAGTGATTTCAGGAAAAGAAGTGCTTTTGACAGGCATCCATTGACCTCATTCTGAGCTAGGTTTAGAATCACAGAAGAGCTTCATTCTAGTGAAGGCACTATGACCCTAGACCAGTGGTTCTCAACCTTCTGGCCCTTTAAATACAGTTCCTCATGTTGTGACCCAACCATAAAATTATTTTCGTTGCTACTTCATAACTGTAATGTTGCTACTGTTATGAATCGTAATGTAAATATCTGATATGCAGGATGGTCTTAGGCGACCCCTGTGAAAGGGTCGTTCGACCGCCAAAGGGGTCGTGACTCACAGGTTGAGAACCGCTGCCCTAGACTGAAGGAAGAATGGGGAGATGGGCATGATGTAAGAGTGGGGTGGTAAGGACTTGGGGAAATTAAAGGGGGGCCCCAGAGGACCTAAAGGGGATTTTTTGGATGAAAGTACCTGATTTGACCCAACAAGTATTTGCTGAGGAAACTAGAGTTGCTATAGTAAGATCACTGTCACTCAACTTCAACCCTAGAAACTGCTGATACCATTAGATGTGGTGCTTAGATTGGCCTGGTGCTTAGCATCTCTACTATTTACTCAGCTTTCAAACCAAGATTGTGAGGAAGGTGACCCAGTTCTCAAGTTTTTCTCCTTTCTCTCTTTCTCCTCTGAGCCTTAGGCAAGAATGAGACTAAAAACATGAGCACTCTAGAAACAAAGGAAAGCACTGTGTACATTTTAAGAGTATTTCATATGCATTCTCATTTCATAGACAGAAAAGTGAGGGTCATAAACTTATGCAATTTGCCTAAGATCTAACAACTAGTGAGCAGTGGGACTAGGAGTGAAACCCAGGTGTTCTAACTATCACCTCCAAATGCCCTGCCTGCCCCAAGCCCTGCCCTCTGCTACCTGGCTAGTGGATTGTGGTCAACTCCCTCACATTTGTGTGGGGGGTCGAAACCTGTACTCCCTTCATGATGCTCTCTAAGGTTTAGATGTACCCATAATCCATACCTTATTCCTTGCTATTTGGGATGAGTAATGGTTTCCCTTGTTCCCTCTAGTCTCTCTGACTGGATAGGTGGCGTCAAGAGTAATAAAACTGCCTCCAGGAAGGGCATGTTTGCAACAGGCGCCACAGCATCATGCCAGCCACACATGCAAACTCCCAAAACCTACCCAGCAACCAAAGCCAAGTGGAAAGCTCAGTAAAGCTGACAACCCCCAGGATATTCCATTGGACACTTTGCCCCTTTGAGCGTTTGCTGTTTGGTGAAGAAAAAGCATAGAAGTGTTCCAGCTGGAACTCTACAACAGGAAAAAGCTCTTTTTGCTAATTCAAAACAGTTTGGAATCTATTACAGTTCTTCCCAAACTTCCAAGATATGGGGGAGGAAATTCACTGGATTTTACAATATATTTTTCTAGGCAGATTGCCATCGCCATCCTAATGACAGAGAAGCTATAAATATTGATACAATGGCCACAGATGGCAAGTCATCCATCCTCCTCCTTTACTCTCTTGAGACCGGCTTGGCTATCCAAACCACCTATATAGCAGCTTCTTCTTTTTCCATCAGTCCCAGCCATGTTCTTGCTCTGTGAAGCAATGTTGGACAGCTGTGCTCTCGGAGTGACCTGGTGAATTTCTACTGCTGAGTGGGCAGGGAGAATAGGGTATAAGAAGGGAGAATTGTTCTCATAGTTACACATTTGCAGATCAAAGAAAAAATAATATCCTCTGAAATAGTGCACAACTGCTTGTCCCATAGGTCAATAACCTGGGATCTCTGTTTCTCACCCTTGATCATGACTACAGAGTATATATACATATAAATATAGATTTAGATATATAGACTTTTAAATTTGTTGGAATTAGAATAGAATCAAAGCACAGCACCTGACACAGAATAAATACTTAATAAATGCTTGTTTAGTGAATAATAAGCAAATATTAACAATAATAACTATCATTTATCAATTATTTTGCTGTGTGCCAGACTTTACATACATACATTCATAATCGTTGTTCAACCTTTCCTGCAGCTCTACAAAGTCTATTATTATCCCCATTTAACAAATGGAGAAAATAGAAATTTAGAG